ACAGTTATTAAGCTCTTGCATGCCGGCAGGCGGCCAGGCGAGGTGAGGTGACAAAAGCAGTTGTCTTGTCTCCGGCCACACCATACCGCACAGATGGACAGGCGGCAGAGCCGTTCTCGGCGGACAGGCGGCTAGGCGCCGCGCGCGTTTATCCGGCTCTGCGGAGCCGCGTCAACATCGGTGGCGCGGCAGTGGGTGCGATGTTATCGGTCAGGGTCTCGGTCGTCACCATTTCAATCCTTTGTCGTGCCACCATGGTGCGGTATAGGTGTTTCGTCACGTCAAGAAAATAAGCACGATCAAAAATACTAGTTTTGAGAAAAAATTAAACAGTGTTAGATTTAAAATTAGTTTAAAAAAGTGTTAAAAAATTCTGCTATAGAAGGGCCTATCAGGAGAATTCTACTATCGATTCTAAAATTGTTAACATGAATAGAAGATGGAATATAGATTTCAAAAACTATGAAATTGTCCAAAACACATGCTATAGAATAGGGCCAATCAGGAGTATGCTACTATCAGTGTTTACATTAGCTAGCGAAACACGAGGTGAACATGCAAACAAAGTAGAACATGGGAAATAAACAGTTAACAGTATAAACACCAGAGCAGATGTTGCAGAGAACTTGAACATGTGACCAGTGTGGCGGACCCAGGATTTAAAACCAGTGTAGTCCTAGTAAAAAAAAATCATGTGCAACACGACAAAATTCAAAAAAAAAGTTCGGTAAAATGACTATAAATTAACCAAATTGAGATAATACAATTGAAATGTTCAAAACTTATATAAATAGATCTGAAACTTGCACAAATAGATTATACATAAGATAAGGTCTTACATAAATAAGAGATTACAATACAAGTCTAGTTCAAGGCTTTTGCTTTGCGCTTTCTCATTGCCATGAAAGCATGAACTATGCCATCCTCGCTTACAGTGGAGAATATATCACGTTCAATAAAGGTAACCAAAGAATCATTCAATAACCTGTCACTCATATTATTTCTCACATTATTCTTCACTAAACACAATGCAGAGAATACTCTTTCAACACTTGCTGTCGCCACTGGTAAGATCAATGCCAATTTAAGGACTAAGTATACCAAACCATAAAATTCATGTTTCTTAGTGTCAACAAGCTTGTTAGAGAGCTCACCAAGGTTGTTCAGTCCTTCAAATCTATCATCCATTCTCACATCTTCAATATATGTGCCAAGTTGAATTTCAAGTGTCCTCAAAGCAGAACTTGAAAAATCTTTAGGATAAAAAGTTGCAAGCTTAATGATTTTCTAAGCATCAAATGAGACAAATGAATTGGAGGGATTCAATGCTGATATACAAATAAGCAACTCCCTACTAACCTCATCAAACCGATTCTCAAGCTCTTGATGAATTCTATCAATAATACCAATATACACTTCTCTTCTATAGTGATCATCAATTGTTTGTACAGGATAAAAGCGATGGGATCTTCCATGAGGCTCATATTTGCAATCCATTGCAGGAACATCAATAGAATATTTGATGCAAAATGATTTAACCTTTTTTAAGAAATCTTCCCACCCATCAGACCTCAATTGTTGGAACCTTCTCTTTGCCACACTAACAAGTGTCATTGCATTAACAATATCTTGGTCTCTCTTTTGCAAAGATTGAGACAACTCATTTGTGTACCCAAGAATCACAAGCATCAAGTGGGCATTGAAAACAAACTCAAATGACTCTAAAGTCAGAACCATAGCATGTATGTTTGGCCAATCAACTCTTTGTGTGGGATCCTTTCCAAGAGTTATGAGTACTTCCCGAATGGTAGAATACATGTCAATGATATGCAAAACAGTTCTATAATGAGAACCCCACCTAGTATCACTAGGCCTAGCCAATCCTATCTCTTGATTTAACCCATTTCCACTTTCTATTTCACCCAATTCAAGTGCTTTCTTCAATTTTCGTGCTCTAACATCTCGAAGCATATCATGGCGTTTGCAAGAAACTCCAACAATATTCAACAAGCGTGAAACTTGAGCAAAAAAAGTACTAGCCCCAACATCTTCCTTGGCAACAGCAACAAGCACTAATTGAAGTTGATGTGCAAAACAATGAACATAATAAGCAGAAGGGGACTCTTTCATTATCAGTGTTTTCAGCCCCTTAACCTCTCCTTTCATGTTACTAGCCCCATCATATTCTTGCCCACGACAAGAACTAAGACTCAAGTGATGACTAGTGAGTAAAGATTGAATAGCCATTTTAAGTTCCAAAGAAGTGGTGCTAGGAACATGAACTATTCCAAGGAACCTTTCACAAACACTTCCACGTTTATCAACATAACGCAAACAAACAGCCAATTGTCCTTTATGTGATATATCACTACATTCATCAGCTAGAATTACATAGTAGTCATCCCCAAGTTCTTCAACTATGTATCTAGTGGTTTCCTCAGAGCAACATCTAATAATTTGCTTTTGTATGCGAGGGGAGGTCAAAATGCAATTACCTGGGGCATTTTTCAGAACCACTTTGTGCACCTCTCCATTATTTCCTGCAAGCCAATTCAAGAGTTCAAAGAAGTTCCCTCAGTTGTTAGATTCTTCAGTTTCATCATGCCCACGACAAGCCAATCCTTGATGCAGAAGGAATCTCAAACATCTAAGTGAATAAGTCAACCTAGCCTTGTAATCAACTCGATCCTTTTCTGACACCTTCTCAATGACAGTATCAATTTTTGTACCCTTTTTCACAAATAAGCTGTATTTCTCTTGAGCAAACTTGTGTAAAGTAGAAGACTCATGTTTGTCAAGTGATATAGTTCCCATATTCCAATTATCCCAACCATCCGTAATAAATTTTCCACTTTCCTTACCAAACAAATAACAATAGAAGCAATATGCTGCATCCTTCTCTACGCTATATTCAATCCAATGGTACTTATGAAACCAAACAAAATTAAAGCGGCGATCTTTACCATAGATTTTTCTGGATGGATAATTATAGGCATAAAGATGATAGGGGCCTTTTAAAATGTACCTTCTTCTGATAGAATCTTGTTCATTCACATCAAAGGTTGAAATAGGACTCCTTAGGCCCGGGTCATGCTCAAGGGAATCAACATCAGCAGCCGGAGGCGGTTCTTCTTCCTCTTCTTCTTCAACTTCATCTGACCCATTATCTCCAAAGTGGGATCCGTGGTTCCGTATTCTGTTACTCTAGGTGTTTCTGTCCCTTCATCCACAACTACGATAGCACTTTCATCACTCACAATTAGAGGATCTTCTACAATAAGAATAGATTGCTCTTCATCAACAACTGGAATTGGTGGAGCACAAGTTGCAACTTTTTTTGCCTCATGCTTCTGAAAAAGAAATGCTATATTTGATTTCTTCATGCCTCAACTTCCTGAAAAATTACAACAATTTCCATTCAATTCTAGGCTCATAGATGATAGATCTACAATCCCTAAGCCTTTTGAAAAATGACAAGAAATTTTAGACTCACAGATAATAGATCTACAATTGACAATTTCTAAGCCTTTACAGTCTAATTTCTAATCTCCAATTTCCAAACCCCAAAGCTTATAAGTTATAACTACATAAAAGAATGGGATTTGGCCATCTAGAGAAAGCTGTGGAGAAACAGAAACTCACCAGCACTCAGTGACAAAGCGGAGGCAAAGGTGCAGCGCCTAGGGGCGCACAGAGGCCACCAGGTCCAGCCTCCGTGTCCAGGGGGACAGGCGGCGGCCAGGCCACGGCCGGCAGAGCGTAGCAATCAAGGAGTCTGCCATCTTGCTGGCCGGCTGGCGTTGGCGCTTATGGCCCACACACGGACGCGGACTGGGATATGGGATCTGGCGCTGGCATGAGACAGACAACAAGGAGGCGAGCGGAGTGGCGGCAGCAGCAGCGTGAGGGGGGCTGCCGGGCTGTCGGGCAGTGGAGCCGCAGGCTAGGGGGGAGAGGCTGGGGTGGGCGGCCACGGCCAACCGTCGGGACTCATGGAAGGGCGCTCATTGCCTCGCTCAGCCACAAGACAACAGCAGACAGAGAGTCGGAGAGTGCGCAGACGGGGTCACGGGGAGAGACGAGTAATGGGCCAAATTTTCAACTGCGCAGAGTACTCAAAGAAATTTCGGCCCAATTCTAGGGTAGTCCTGGGCCTACCTGGACTACCCGCTGGGCCCGCCAAGACAGGTATAGAACAGAGAAACCTACATGTATAAACAAACTGGACGAGCCAAAGGAGCAGCACCAAAATCTACTCATTGCTATGTAGCTAGAGATTGCATCACTTTGCCATTCTTGAATTTGCGATGAGAACTGTAAGGGTAGCAAACTTTCAATCGCAGGGCGAATTCCCTCATGCTTTCTTGGGGTTGGGGGGGGGGGGAGGACAACAATAACAAGGCATTCCTTGTTTCCTACAGACAACACTGGCCTCAAACGAATTCCAATTATTAAAGAGATTATGGGCTGGCCTGCAGGATTACGCCCAAATAAACGTGCTGGCCTGCTGGGTTTCCATTCTACCCTGCTTCGGGAATATGGGCTGGCCTGTAGGATGATGCAGGCTGACGGAGCGGGCCTGCCCAATGGGCTGGCAGCGTGGCCCGCGCTACTTGCAAGCCCAGACGTGGCCCAACACAGTGCTAAAGAGAAGACAACCACTACCATCTCCACTCGTCACCAACTCCCGGCGCTATCCCTCCCCACTCCCACACCCAGCCGGGCGCCGGCGAACCCTAACCCTACCCAATGTCCTCGCTGCCGCCGGCGGTGGCGGCGGCTTCGCCCACGGCCGCGGAGGACGAGGCGCGCGACTGGGCGGAGATGCCGTCGGACGCGCTGGCGGCCGTGTTCGCGAAGCTGGACGTGGCCGAGATCCTGCTCGGGGCCGGGCTGGTCTGCCGCGCGTGGCGCCGCCTCGCGGCCTCGGACCCCACGCTGTGGCGCCGCGTCGACATGACCTACCAGGGGACCAGCTGCAGACTGAGGAGGTCGAGGCCATGGCGCGCGCCGCCGTCGATCGAGGCTCCGCGGGCACCATGGAGGCGTTCGGGGCCGAGACCTTCGTCAACGACGAGCTCCTACGCTACATCTCTCAGAGGTCGGGGAAGCTTTACCCACTCCGTTTGCATTTCTTTTTGTTAATTAAATGGTGGATGGAGACGCAGGCTCTAGCTAATTCGTGGTTCGTACTCACTGTGCTTGATTACGGCCACCAATTTTGGGGAAATGTTTAATCTTTCTGCATTTTTAGAGCATTCTTAGCTAAACGTACGGTTCCACCTCAAGCTATATTTTCAGCAGAATGTTGAGGAAATGTTTAATCTTTCTGCATTTCTTTAGAGCATTCTTAGCTAAACGTACGATTCCACCTCAAGGTAAACTTAGAGCACAGTGTAGGTCTTCCTTGTCTGCCTATTTGTGTACAGGATTCGGTTACTTAGGATAAAATAAAATGACATGCTGTGAGTAGGTTAATCACTCTAAGGTCGATACAAGAGATCTGAATTTACCACCTTTTTCACTTGTAGAAAAGAAAGTACAGGTCTGATAATGATGTCTTATCCTTATGATCTTTTTCGAGGACAAGACAATTTGAAAACTTAGTGGCCAAATAAAATTGGATGGGAAAATGCAATTATTAAAAGCATGCATCTTACATGTGGCTTTTGTGTAGCATTTGTCTCTAGTCCTTGAACTTTTTCCACATTGACCTAGCTAAATTTTGTCTAGAACTCTAGATGTTAGGCTCGGCTCGTTGCTCCAAAGGAATGTGAGGCAGTTGCAAGCAGATCCTTTGGGCGTATTGCCAAGGTCAAGAGCAGGATTTCTGGGATTAGACAATTCAATATTCATGGGCTGTTTGATAGTAGGATATAGAAATTGAATATCTTCGACATGGAAACTTATGTCTTTCAAAAATTTTGTCTCAAAGGAAGAATTAACAGTTCGTCAATAAACTAGTAGGGTCCATGGTTTCTATCAAAGACCTTTCTCTTGTAGTTGAAGCATTAGCCATCGTTGCTAGAATGAATCCAAACATTGCTAGCTGGTGAACTTTTCTGCAGTTTATTATTATGTCTTTGTCACCTTTGGCGAATGGCAAACTATCTTGTTGTCGCTGACTTCGCTGACCTTTATTTTTTCAGTAACCCCGTTTCATGCAGTCTTGAGAAGCAACATTTGTGTAGTGGGCAGCAAGAGGAGTACCCTGACTACGCAAATGGTAGTCATGGTTGATACTGGGGTGGGGCTATTCACCTCAATGCTCTATGTTGGGGAAAGTAAAAGATGGGGTAGAGATGGGAAGAAAGATAACTCTTTGCTTAAGTTCATGATTACATCTAGGTTTATATAACCGAGTCCCAACAACCACCTAGTTCTGAGCATTATCAATCCAATCACCAAAAACTCGAAGCAATCTAAGAAACTGAACTAACCTAGGAGGAACTAGGTGCCTTTTTATTTATGAAGAAATAGGCACCGACAAGGACTTGAACTTGGTGGTATGGGTATACATCCATGCCTTCGACCGAGTAAACTCAGTTCCTGCTCCTCCTGCTGCATATTCGTAATAATAGCTTGATGTTAGTGTTGAATGTTGACTTGACAAATTTGATTATGCCATGCAGCTTGATGTTAGTCTACAACCATTTACTAGAACTAGATCAGTTTATATAGCTATCAAAGGAAAAGATCATCATGTAATTGAATTGTCTGGTGCCAAATTTTACTATCATCTGTGGTTATTTTCTTTCTGCTACTTGAAATTACTCTTGTCATGTAGCGTTGGTATAATTATCCAATGCTTGTAAATGACTTCTTAGTCAGAATTGATATTTTATTTTTGTTCTTTGTTTAGTGTGAAGGGCGGGCCTGGTGCAAGCGGTAGAGTCTTACCGCCTGTGACCAGAAGGTCCCGGGTTCGAGTCGCGGTCTCCTCGTATTGCACAGGCGAGGGTAAGGCTTGCCACTGACACCCTTCCCCAGACCCCGCACAGAGCGGGAGCTCTCTGCACTGGGTACGCCCTTTTTTTGTTTGTTTAGTGTTTGCTGTATGCAACTGTTTCCTTCAAGTTCCACAAATTGAACTAGCTCATCTATCCTTTGTTTGTGCTGCCGCATCAACTATTTTTTTTGGACGTGGTACCAAATTTGATTTACAACAGTTACCAAGTTCAGCAAGTTTGAATTCTCATTTATGCTGAGATAATGCTTATCACTGTCAGAGGTGTTTTACTGTGATTCATTATCCTTGCGTTGTTTCAATCTTTTGGCAAGATGTGATACGTAGATTGTTTGTATAGTGTCAACTCAGGCAGTATTGAGCTATAATTTTTTTTTGCGGATTGTATGTTAAATTTTGCCTCCTAATCAGGTTTAGATAATTTTTGATATATTATTACTGATTGATTTAAGAACTAGCCTTGATTTACTAAGGTATTTTTATGACCCTTTTCAGCAATTTCTGTAGCACAAGTTTTTATTCTGCCTGTTATGATATTAGAAATCAGCTTGGGTCTGACACCTTATTACTTATATTCACTAAAAACAAACTCATCCAGATGGTCACATTCTGCATGCAGGGCCCCCTCATTGAAGAGCCTCCATCTCTGCTTGTGCCATCATGTCACTAATCAAGGTTTTGCAGAGGCAATTAATGGTTTCCCTCAGCTCGAGGAGCTAGATGTTACATTCTGCTCATTGAATGGCAGCGTGTGTGAGAGTGCTGGGAGAGCCTGCCCACAACTTAGATGCTTCAGGTTGAATGAGCACTGGTCTATTCTTCAAAATGAGCGCTGGTCTATGCTTCAGGGCATGGATGATGACACGGAAGCATTAGGGATCGCTAGCACCATGCCTGGGCTCCAAGAACTTCAGTTGATTGGTAACCTGCTGTCCAATGACGGACTCATGGCAATCCTTGACCGTTGCCCTCGCCTTGAATCCCTTGACATTCGTCAGTGCTACAACATACAAATGGACGATGCACTGAAATTGAAATGTGCTAGGATACGATATCTGAAGCTTCCTCATGACTCCATCTCTGACTTCAGGTATCGGGCTTACATCGTCAGCAGCATAGCTAACTCTGGCTCTGATTTTGAGTTGGATATGTACGATGATCTGCTGGATGTGGTCACTGAAGATGATGATGCTGATTTTGATGATATGGATGGTTTCGATGACACAGTCTCAGATGGAGGCATGTACGATGATGACTTTGATATCTGAAGCAAGAAACTAATTGGAACAGCTTTTCCTTTCCCCATGTATAGTGCTGTGAGCTGGAATGGTTCGGCATCCCCTTGTGTTTGAGATTCGGGTAGCTAGGATGGAATCTCCCTGATGTTTATACTTCTGCGCCTCTCCTTTTGTTGTAAGAAGGTGGAGTTGCTAAACTAGTTCTAATTGATGTAGACTGGTTGGTTTTTTTTTTAATTTGAACCTTTTTAATTGATATTTTAATAATAACCTAGGGCAGTACGTGGTTTTGCACCGGATATTTTGCCAGTCAAATTAACACTCGTGCAAATTAGCTATATATGTATAATGTATGTGGATGGAGTGACCGATAGTATACCAATGGACTTGTCCCTCCTTTTTACAATGTTAACATTTTCAGGGCCATAATCTATGTAAAGAAAGGTGACGCAACTTCTTTGCTTAGCATTTCTCGGAATGTGCTTAACAGAATGGCAGAAAGTGGTGAGCCCAGCTTCATTTGGACCGAGATGCCTTTTGCCAAAGGTGATGCTAGGAAGCACTTCCCATATGCATGCTCCATATATGGCATTGTTTAGTTCCAAAAAGTTTTCCCAAAAAGTGCTATAGTAGCCATTACATCGAATCTTGTGATACATGCATGGAGCATTAAATGTAGACGAAAAAAAACTAATTACACAGTTTGGTTGGAAATTGCGAGACGAATGTTTTAAGTCTAATTAGTCTATGATTGAATACTAATTGTCAAATAAAAACGAAAGTGCTATAGTAGTTAAATTCCTAAATTTCACCCAACTAAACACAGCCTATATGTGATGCATATGATTGAGTGAGTGACTGGGGTTTAAGCCGCTCTTTGTACTTCTCATACTGGCTGTTTCTCAGCCGCAGCTCCTCAGCCTACCAGTGCTCGTCCCTCAACGAGAGCCTACAAGCTATCCTTCCTCTCCTCAGGCCACTCGTTCAAAAAAAAAAACGATCGTCTGCACTGGCACCGTGCGGACGTTTAACCAAATCACGACATGTGGGAAGAAAGTTTGGAACCAACACTGGAAAGACAAGATAGACGGTCAGATCAAAAGGTCCACAAGTTAGAATTGTGTGGACGTCCGCACGGTGCCGAGTGTGGACGGTCCCCATGGAATTTTTTCCCCTCGCTCCTCTAGCCTAGTGGCTCAAGGGAGTGTGGTAGTGAGCTCAAGTTTGTCCTTAGCAAAATCTTCGTCAAGCTCCCCTCTGATCCTCCTCCAGCTCCTCTAGTCTTCAGAGATCCCTTTAAAGAGTATGATGAGGCTGTAGCTGCCGCTACTCGCTATTAATTCCGTGGGTGATGATGAGAGCCTTGCAGTGGTTATGGGTCAGATGCATACTCATGGCAAGTGCTCGCCTTGGTCGTGTGGTCAAATCTTGGGTTAAATCCATGTATCTCGTGTGTTTGATGTTGTGTTTTCACTTGTCTCGCTCTCCACTTCTCTCTCTTGTGTTGACATTTAGTATTTTCATCTGATCTATCTTTTAGGTCTTGTTTAAATATAGGGTATAAAGTTTTAGAGTATCACATGGGGTATCACATGGGATGTTCGGATACTAATAAAAAAATTACAGAATCCGTCAGTAATCCGCGAGATGAATTTATTAAACCTAGTTAATCTGTCATTAGCACATGTGTTACTGTAACATCATATTGTCAAATCATGGACTAATTAGGTTTAAAAGATTCGTCTCGCAAATTAGTCGCAAACTGTATAATTAGTTATTTTTTTAGTCTATATTTAATACTCTATGTATGTGTCCAAACATTTGATGAGATATGAAGTAGACTTTAGGGAAGGAACTAAATAAGGCCCTAGTCACATTTTAGTCTAGGGGAAAGGTACAAAGGGGGTCTGCTAACCTCAAGGATGTGTACTGTGTGGTAATTGAGCAATCTATTTTGGATCAATTTGGTGTTGTTTTGTAGTTTTTAGTCTAGAGACGTTCAAATTTCCTAGGGAACGAAACATAGAAACCATAGGGAAATAGGAGGATTTCAGTAGTGCTACTTTTTTTTTGAAAAAATGGCGTACCCAGAGAGCTCCCGCTCTATGTGGGGCCTGGGGAAGGGTGTTAGTGGCAAGCCTTACCCTCGCCTGTACAATGCGGGGAGACCGTGACTCCAACTCAAAACCTTCCGATCACAGGCGGTAAGACTCTACCGCTTGCACCAGGCCTTTTTTGAAGTTTGAAAAAAATAATGTTTTAAGCCTAGTCATCCCCTCAGCTCCTCCCTCTAAGCCTTAAGCCTTGTTGATCCTTTCATCAATGGTCGGAGTAAGTTATTAGAGAAAATTTCTTATTTGGCCCTAGTTTAAAGTTGTCTTTCTTCCTTGGCCCTGAAACAAAATTTCTTACCTATTTGGCCTCACTCGAAATTTTGTTTTTCAATCTGGTCTTACCGTGAGATCCCCCAAAGTTTTGTCATCACTGAGTTGTCAGTTTTTATTGAATAGACAGAAATACCCCTAACTGAAGCCGTGTCTCTCCTTTCTCTTGTATCTCAGACCTCTCGGTCTCTTCTATGTCCCTCCGAGCCCGCTCTCTTCTTCTAAAACAAAAACGAACCCTAACCCTAGGTACTGTGGGGGCGTGGCCGAGGCGCCAGGCTCGAGGGCGGGTGGGTCAAGGCGGAGGCAAGGCGCGCAATGCCTGGCTTATGAGTGGCTGTGGCACGTGGTGGCCTGGGCTCGTGGCGGCCAGGGCGTGCGGCTTCCTGGTGAAAGGTCCTAATGGCTAGAGGGGGGTGAATAGCCTATTAAAAAATTCTACAACAACACTTAACAAATCGGTTAGACAATTATGAGGCGAAGCAAGTGTTGCACTATCCTACTAAAAAGTAAGCCACCTACCACAATTCTAGTTTATATAGTTTCTATCCACACAATAGCTATGACACTACACTAAGTTAGTGTGCTATCAAAAGCTAACTAAAGAGCCACACCATTCAAACTAACAAGTTCTCACAACTAGCTACACTAAAGAGCTTGACAACTAGTTTACGGTAATGTAATGAGAGTGAGCAAGAAGGTTATACCGTCGTGTCGAGGAAGGAGCCAACCAATCACAAGAATAAATAACAATGAAGACCAATCACCTCGAAATCAAATGATGACACAATAATTTTTTACCAAGGTTCACTTGCTTGTCGGCAAGCTAGTCCTTGTTGTGGCGATTAACTCACTTGGAGGTTCACGCGTTAATTGGCATCACAAGCCAAATCCTCAATAGGGTGTCGCACAACCAACACAAGATAAGGATCACACAAGCCACGAGCAATCCACTAGAGTGCCTTTTGGCTCTCCACCGGGGAAACGTCAAGAACCCCTCACAATCACCACGATCAGAGCCGAAGATAATCACCAACCTCAACTCGACGATCCTCGCTGCTCCAAGCCATCTAGGTGGCAGCAACCACCAAGAGTAACAAGCGAATCCCGTAGCAAAACACGAACACCAAGTGCCTCTAGATGCAAACACTCAAGCAATGCACTTGATTCTCTCCCAATCTCACAAAGATGATGAATCAATGATGGAGATGAGTGTAAGGGCTTTGGCTAAGCTCACAAGGTTGCTATATCAATACAAATGGCCAAGATAGTGAGCTTGAGTCAGCCATGGGGCTTAAATAGAAGCCCCTATAAAATAGAGCCATTGTACCCCTTTACTGGGCACAACACGGGGTGATCGGACACTCCGGTCATATCGACCGGACGCTGGATCTTAGCGTCCGATCATGCGATGCGTGCCACGTGTTCCCTCTCTTCAAATGTTGATCGCCCAATCTCAACGGTCAAGTGATGACCGAACGCAACAGCTCAAAGTGACCGAACGCTGAACCCCAGCGTCCGGTCGTTTCCAGTAAGCATCTAGAGACGACTTTTTACTACCGGACGCGTCCGATCATGCTCGACCGGACACACCCAGCATCCGGTCACACGAAGACTCCCCTGTATGCTGCCACGTCAGCAGGACCGGACGTAGCCTATCAACGTTCGGTCACTTAATGACCCAGCGTTCGGTCAGAGACCGACGCTGCGTGTCTTTGTAGCTTCTACTGACTGAACGCGCCGGTCCAACCAAGGCCAGCGTCCGGTCACTACGTGACCAACTCCTTTTCAACTCTATATCCTTCACCCTTGCTTAAATGTGTCGACCACCAAGTGTATCACCTTGTGCACATGTGTTAGCATATTTTCACAAACATTTTCAAGGGTGTTAGCACTCCACTAGATCCTAAATGTATATACAATGAGTTAGAGCATCTAGTGGCACTTTGATAATCGTATTTCAATACAAGTTTCACCCCTCTTAATAGTACGGCTATCGATCCTAAATGTGGTCATACTCGCTAAGTGTCTCGATCACCAAAACAAAATGGCTCCTACCATTTATACCTTTGCCTTGAGCCTTTTATTTTTCTCTTTCTTCTTTTCAAGTCCAAGCACTTGATCATCACCATGGCATCACCATCTTCATGTCATGATCTTCATTTGCTTCATCACTTGGAATGTGCTACCTATCTCATGATCACTTGATAAACTAGGTTTGCACTTAGGGTTTTATCAAATCACCAAAACCAAACTAGAGCTTTTAATCTCCCTTTTTTGGTAATATATGACAACCCTTTCACAAAGATATGAATTGAAATTCAATTGAATCCATGTTGCTTACCCAAGCATATTTACCATGTGTAAAAGGATATGGACAAGTTTCATGAACCCCAAATGGTAGCAATTGCTCCCCCTACATTTATGCTAAGAGTTTGGATTGTAGCTTGCACATATGCTTAGATAGGAAATATAGGAGACAATGTCTACCAAATGATGCTAAGGTATAAAAGATGGATCTTTGAAGCGTGATACCAATCGGAGTGCACCATTATACCATCCTTAGCATCATGGTTAGCTCGATACCACTTGGAAGCATTTGGAAATGAAATCACTAGATAAACTTATGCATGCTAGATTTTCATT